TACACATCGCACATGAATGGTGTTTGTATGTGGTAGTAGCCCCAAGTCTCCATTTGTGCACTATGGTGGTTGCGTCTCGAATATTTCGAATATTGTTCGAAATTTACAATCATTCTATAATAGAACCAATTTGAATTGGTTCGATTATAGAACGATTGTAAACATTCTATAAAATTGATCAAATTGAAAATAGTTTGTTTGACTGGACGTAAAAGTTCTCGAATTAGTCTGGAAACGGGGGACCTAATTCTTGCATTCTGTGAAAACGGGTAAGATTGGCTATAATGTAATTATCTTAATCTTCACTATTGTTACTTTTTGCCCAGCGAAGCGGGTCCTTGCTGCTAGATTCTAGATTACTTAGAAAAACAGTCTTTTATATATTAAAAAAAACTATATTACATACAAAAAAAACCCAGCGAAGCGGGTCCTTGCAGCTAGTATTATTATAAAATTATAATATAGCAACATCTGAACAAATAAATAATAATAAAACACATATAAATCATAATGATCAAAAAATAGAACAAAACATCTAGGATACTAAAAATGTAGTTTACAGATTTAAAGTAGTTGTATGAAAAATAATATATACATAGGGAAACGGGCAGGAAACTACATTTAGAGAGCATGTTGCAGCAATTAAAAATAATAGTCACACATCCGCTGTTGCCTGCCACTGTAATAACCAAAAATGTAAAATTTTAAAAAAATACAATTAAATTAAAATGAATAAAAGAAAATCTTCGGTCATGTATGGTGTAAATACAGGTAAAACATTTTGCGGTCTGTATAATTCAAATTTAATGTGTCGCATGACTGGTTTGGCAAATTCTTTGTACAAATTTATGTCTAAAAAGTACTTGCTTTCATTCTCCAAGGCAAGTTTTATGGGTACACATTTTCTTGTAGGAGTTAATCTTAAAGTCATTTTTATTTCTGCTTGAAATACATTGAGTTTCCAAAATCGTGGTTCATATCTGCTAACCATTCCTGTTTCATTCTCTGCAATCTTGGCAAGATTCACGGTAACTTTCAGTACATAATTCAAAAATATGTGATTACAGTCTGTTCTGAGAGCAAGTGTATGGTGAATGAACTTCTAATTCATCCATATCTTCTAGTAACAATATCTCTCGTTCATTTTGTAAATATTCATACCAAGCGTACTTTGTGATCAGATCTGAATGCCTGATGTAGCTCGAATAATAAATCTGAAAACTTTGGTGACTTTTTTTCTACCTGAATATAAATGCATTTTTGATTTGCCGTAGGTATAGCTTTCAGATTATAATTACGAAGTCTGTTTATCTCCAAATAAAAATCGAGTTAATAAACCATCGAATTTGATAAACCATAACGATGTAATACAAAAAAAGCTATTCTTCTGACAATTTTTTCTTTTAATTTTCTTTTTGTTTTGCACAAATTTTTCTAAACATTTTGCTATATATACTGTCATCTTATTCATTTTTCATAAATATAGCAACATGCAGAATATGCATATGATCATCAATCTTAAATTACTTCACTCTCACTAATAACAGAAACAAGTCTTCCTATTGTAGTGAAATCAGTGTCTTAAAGACTAGGACTAAGAGCAACCTTAGCATCTTTAACTATATTCAAATTCGTCAGATAATTGAATATGAATAAAAGATTAATTACTATTAAACATGATTTTTTTTTCTTACTTATAAATTTTTTTCTACAATTTCGTTGGACGTTTTAAAACATGGAACAAGAAACAAGAAAGACGTATAAAAAAAAACAATTAAAATTAAAACAAATGCAAAAATTGCAAAAAACTAAAAGAAAATTGAAATTTGAATTTTTTTTTTGTTATTTTCAAAATTTCTCTTGTAATTTTTTTGGATATTTTCAAATAAAGAGAAAAAACAACAAAGAAAAACAATTAAAATTAAAACAAATGCAATAAAATACAATGAAATTCAATCATATTTTAGAAAATTGAAATTTATAACAATTTTTTGTTGTTTTTAAATATTTCTCTTGTAATTTTTTTGCACATTTTAAAATAAATCTTCTTACATCTGTGAAAATAAAATCGAAAAAATAATCAATATATTTATCTAAAATATTCAATTATTTAATAATTTTTCAATCAGTAAGTTTATTTTTTTCTAAAAACCATTATTTACTTATCAAACGAAAATTATTTAGTGGATAATTATTAATTTGCTACTGTTGTGTCATTTATTATGTTTCATATATATTATTATTAATTTGATTAGTTCAGAAACTTCGTGTACTCATCTTAACATAAACTTGTTGAATATTTTAATCTCTACTCCCATTTATTCTGTTGCTTTTCCTTTGTTACGAAACTAGTACACTTCCAAAATATGTCTTGGTCGTTACTTAACCAAGAATGTATATATATACATTTTTACAGAAAATTAGGATTATATATATATAATCCTAATCATCTGTAAGCCTACTTCCAATCTGTCTATGTGTAAAATATCAATGTTATAAAAAACATGATGTATCTCTACGTGAATACATGTTTTCTGTTCTCCTGTTACTATGGCCAAAACACTATTTTTCTCAGGGATAGAAATGGCGTGTAATTTATAAATTGAGGGTAGAAAATCATCTATGTGTTAAGTGTAAAATACAAAAATATTCTGATTAAGCTCTTACCCGAGACGTACTCGGATTAAATCAAGCAGATGGATACTTGACTCAAATGATGAAGACAAAGAGATCATTAATCAAACTGAATGTATTCAGTATCTCCATTTTTCATTCCTTTCCATAACTTCTGTGCTGATCTGAATTTGAAAAAACAAATTTAATTATTTATTGAAAACATATCTGGATTTGAATTTTATCAAAACATATTGAGAGCGCAATATCGGCTGCGTTTATATTGATTAATTGAAAAGATTACATTATAAGAAATGTTATATTTATAAATAATTGCTTGTTATCATTAATTTCATTTGTAGCTTATCTTTTCATTGGATTAGAAATGAAATTAATTTGGTAAATCTCAATGTAGCGCAAAAATATAGAAAAGTTACGCCATTCTCATAAAAATTACGAAGTTTTCAAGCTCAGATATCTGCGTACGTCTTAATATTGTGTATAATTGTTGTTGATTAAGGTACTTCGGTTTAGCATCACATTGGATTCATTGAGAGTTGTAAAGGCAAACGAATGACCGAGCTAAATCGAACTTTGTTTGTACTGACATAGACAGAAACTCACCTCTTCACTGGCTTCCATACGGCCTTAAAAAAAGATCCGGCTTTTTTTAATTTCTTTGTTTCTGTAATGGCACAACCAATGGTATATCCAATGGTGTGTCCAATATTATATCCTATGGTGTTCGTATTTTTCATTCCACCTTCGTTTTTCTTGAAGCCTTCTTTTATTTTGATGTTCGTTGGACGACCGATAATGTCATTATTAAATTCATAGTCGTCCTGATCTTCAACCAATCGCTCACTAAAAGTATAACGAAAAAATTTACAATGCGGTAAATATTTAAAAACTTATGGAAAATTATATACTTGGAAAACATTTTATTTCTTATTTCCCAAACTTTTTCAAGAAATAATGAAACTATCGATTTTTATGTCTGTTAAGTTATGGCAACGCAACACTTTCCATGCCTTTTGATTCATGTCGGAATAACGTTGAAACTTTAATAATTTCGATTCCTTCCAACGTTATTAAAGTTATTACTATTTTGTGGACGTGTAGAGTCTCCTCTAATTCAAATTTAAAGTTATGTGCACAACACGTTAGTTTATGTAATTCTTGTCTTTGAGATTTTTCGGTTTAATGCCGATCTCAGATGTAGACAGTGGCGCTCTATCGAACGTTAAATATATAGAGAGAATGCATATGTCGCTTAACGATGTACTAATTAACATCATGACAGAGGTTTATAGTGTTTAGTGGAGCCGAAGAACACGTAACCACATGTTCCTTTTCTACGTGTATATAAATATAGATAGATATATACAAATTATCATCATTGCGTTACATATATGGAATGGCAGTATATTCGTTATCTAAACAAAAGAAGTTTTGAAGAATAAGAGAAAAAATGTGTTTAATAATAACTAAACTTAATTTTAAAAATCGAGTAACGAGTTGCTTAACTTTCTTCGTAACATTTGGTAACTCCGTGCACTATAATATTTTACTTAAAAAACTTTTTACATTTTTAACTATCATAAAATAATGTAAAAACTTAATTTTGAGAGTAGGGATAAGTTTTATAAAAGATTTCTAAATGCTAGCAAAGAGTAAAATTGTCGTTGGATCAGACCCTACATGAGATAAGACACATGACTCCTTTTATCTTTTCACCCCTCGAGTTATCCCCACCAAAATTTAATAGATTCGATCCTTGTAATACACAGACCTCCCTAAAAAATTTCTGAAATTTTTAGCAAAAAGCACAAGAGTTATTAAGCTTCAATGAAGATGAAAAAATCGTGCCCTCAAACACAGAGAACGTCCCCGTTCGCTCAGCGGCTCATTCCGTACTATATTATAACACTGTATAACTGTATTATACTTTTGTCCACCTTGGACGTTCTTGTGTACTAGGATTTGTTATAGTGAAAAAGGAAAAACACAATTTTTAAATTAAATATATTTAATGTTCATACTGTTCTGTACATAAAAAATTTTATTTGCCACTACAATCGAGCATTTCGGGTCAACGTTCTTAGCAGATATTTTTTTACGTTTATAGTATATACCTATATGTATCTTTCAATATTTTCGGAATAGACGTTTGAAATGCAATTTTTTAAATTTTCCCAGCAAAAGTTTTTTTAAAATACTTTCCTATTTATTACAACACAGTTTCATTTACTTAAACATCACTAATTTCTTAAACGAATTACCAACTTTTCATCTTACGGAAAAATTATCCAGCTCACACCATTTCAGTCTGTATGAGTCTGTATGGTCTGTATGAGCTTATTAAAATATAAACATAAAAAGGTAACGTCTGCTGAGAAGAAACGTTGGCCCGAAATGCCCGATTGTCGTATAATAGCATATAAGATTACGTTACAGTAAATATATTTTAATTGAAATTTTGTGTATCTTTTTCCTCATTATAACAAGTCTAAAGTGGAGATCCACTTTGGACTTGTTATAATCACACAAGAATATCTAAAGTGAATAAAAGTATAATATAAGTAATTAAGGACAAGAAGCACGTTTCAACGTGATATAACTGTATTACATATAAACAGTGATATAACTTACCTTTTAATGCGATCGCACGTAATATCGTAAAATGGCCGGATCTTATCCATTGTTTGTTTATATGCAGGATTGATGCGATTTTTTAAGATGGATCCTCCAAATTTAATTTTTGCGGGTTCATCCTGCTCCAACAGGCATTTTTCCTTGCCGCGATATTTAAAATAATCCAAATTTTTTGGACTTACAAAACCCGCATATCCATCTGATTTTGCCCTAAAAATAAAAAGAAAAAATTCATATAACACAATAAATGCTATTTACAGAAAACTTTATTTTAATTTTAAAATCGAATATATAAAAATATGCCAATGAGTAGTTATGTAAACTTTTAGAAAAATTATTATACTTTAAAAAATCTTTCTATATAATGTTTAACAAAATTTCTTATCAAACTGTAAACTAAACGTGGCCTCGTAAAATTTCATTAATTTGAGTAAGGAAAAAAATAAATTTATCACAATAGGTCAATAAATTTATATATTACGTTTAGTGAATCGATAAGTCTTAGCACAAGACCTTAAATTCTTACTTGTTGAATTCACATGCAAATACAACCCTTTTTTTCGACACCAAAATGTTTGTAGAATACAGCAAAACACAAAAATGTTTGCATAAAAGCTACATTTAGAAATATCGAAGAGTCGAAATCTTTAAATCAATTTAAAGTAATTATCATTTGCATCGAGCAATTTCATTTTAAAGCCATTAATTTTTCGAATAAATTTCTTATTTCCATAAATAACAATAAAATGTGAAAAATATCTTACTCCGAACGTTTAGGCAAGGGGTGATAGTTGAAAGAATCAGAAAACATTTTTTAATTACTTCGAAAGCGCACTCTTGATAATGAAAGAGCCAAACAATGTAAGATCAATTGTTGAGTTTCTTTGTTACGCGTTAATTGAAGAAAAGAGAAATTTTGATGATTAATTTGTAATTTTATTTTCTATTTTTAATTTTTTAATTAGTTCCTGTGTAATAATGAATAAATGGTAATGGTCATGGCAGTAAAGGTCTTGGCCCATCTCACTGAAGAAGTTAGAATCGAATACGGGCGAGCAATTCTCCAAGAATTTTTCATGAAAGATCTATCTTAAATACGTTTAGCACAGAACCCTCACCATTGTAGGTTGGACCATACGTACCATTATGGGCATGGTTCAATTCTCAATGAACAGGATTGATAACTTTTTCGGGTTTCCTACCTCTCTATGAGTGGAAAAAACCACTGAACATTAGTAGTTTTTCGGCAGTTTGCGCCTTGCGAACAGACTGAAAACAAAATTTTTCGAGTTTTCTTCACGTTTGTAACACCTAAATAGGGGTCCACTGAAACTTTTTCCGGAGGCATTCCTCTTCACATGTCATGTTGCCATATACAACTAATGTAATTTTTTTTAATATATTCACATGGAAAAAAGTAATATTATTAAATACTATATCTATATCTAAACCGCCATCTGTGCAATAGAATTGCAGTATGCAGTGTTCCTGTTGATGGCAGTTTAATAAATTATTGTACAATACGCAGAGAGGATTTTTCAAAATTTTCTGTGCTAGGTAGAGAGAGCACTAAGGCTTAACCTGAAGAGCAGTTTCTACTGTAGTATTTAAGATGGAATTTTTTGTTTTTAACTACATTTAGTCTTTATTATGTAGTTTGGTGTATTAAGTTGATAACATTTTAGGAATTGTTATAAATATTTTTATATATTTCGATATTTTAACCAAATGTTCGAACCGTTTAAAATTTGAATTTGTTATCGCATATTGATTTGATTATAGAACGATTGTAAACGTTGTAGAAAATTGGTCAAATTGAAAATTGTTCGTCTGATTCTCAGCGATAGGTGTTATATAGCAATTACTATGTTTGTTGAAATAACTGAATATAAATAAGGGTTGCTTCCAAAACCCCCGTGGGCGTAGTCGCGGGTAACATTAGTTTTGTTTATAAAGAACAAAGCTATATTTGCCAGCACGTCAATATCGGCTCTCGTTTCTCTTCATAATCATATGCGTTTATACGGTTCTTACTTATTTCGCTTCCTATCTAGAAAATGCTAAGAAATAGAACACAGTGACTTGCCTCGTTTATAATTTGTTAGCAATGAGATTACTTATTTACTTTTATAATGTAAACTGTTTTCTGAACTAATTTGTAACGTATTCTTTACATTATTCTGTACATACAACATTTTTTACGGTATAATACTCCGTTTAAAATTTGTATTATATATTTTTATTCACTATAGTATTAAACCGTTTATATAAAAAACCTACAATATCAATGGACATTAAATAAAAGTAATATTACGGAAATCAGAATAATAATAGCTTGTCATAGATTCATTGAAAAGTTTTCTTTAATTTCAGAAATATGTTGTTTTTATCATAAAGAATGTGGTAGTTTTCGTAAAAAATTTTCTTTTATTCTGGTACGTATTTCGCGAATTTCAAAACTTAATCTTCAGTGAAGAAATCTATGTGCTGATTCATGAAATTTTTGCATGAACAATTGTAAACACAATATTGTTAAAATGCATATTTTCTTTTTTGAAATCTTTTCACTAAATGCTTCAACAGAGTGTAAACTGTTGCAGTTGTATTGTTGACAGTTACACCAATCGAGTCACAACTATCCCGTAGATTCTGACATTATTATCAGTATATGATTTTACACAAATAGTGACACTTTATTTTAAACAATAAGTAGGCTAGGTTTACTTGAATGTATTGCATATAACAAACTCAAAATATTTACAATCAATAAAAGAAAAATTTCCTGTAAAGAAGACTATCTATGGGAAACAATTTCTTTAATGAAGTTAGACACGTGAACATAACTGGGAAAACTCGAAGTGGTCATTCTATTGGTGACGTTCGAAACCGTGACTAACTATAAGTGTTCAACATTATTAACCATTCGACTACTGATTGATCTTATAGAAAAAAAGTCAAATAGGCTTCACAATAAAGTAGGATTCAGTCTGTATAACAATTTGAAAAGTAGGCCTTTGGCTGTTCTTTTGGAAATGTATGGTATATATAGATATGTTAAATATTAGACAAAAGAAAATTAGCCCATCTGTTGTCGAGTGAATAAAACTTTTGTGCATTTGTCATCGATTTGCAGCTAAACAACGGGCTGACCACGTAAAATTTTTCGAAAGTTTTTCATATTTCTGACACTTACGATGCAATTATTCATTGCGACATTATCACAATGCCTGGCGGCGATTTTAATCATATTTATTAAAATTACATAATTAAAAATATATGCTCTCCATCTCAAAATTGTTTTGTCTTGCTTCTGTCTATCATACTTTTCTACGAGCAGTAGAGTCGTGCCGATAATCTATCTAACTTGTTTCAGGAAACATGCTAGTATTGTACTTTGTACAATAAGCTGTAAATTCCTGTCTTATTAAGTACGGTGGTTATTTTGTATGTACTCTACATCTATTCTTTTGTCAAAATCCAGTAATTTAAAACCGCCAATCAAATATATTTTAAATTGTGGAGATTCTACTTTATTTCTAATAGAATTTCAATATTAAATCTTACTTAAAATAATTTTATTAATGTATATTTAGCAAATTGTTTACTTTGTTTAATAAATTATATTTTAAACTTATTAGTCAAGAAGAAGTTCAGTGAAGAGTTTTTTGGATATTTGTCCAATTAGGAGTTACAGGTTCTCTGTAGTAAATATGTTTACGTTCAAAACAATTTTAATAATTTCTGTATGCCATATATTTACAGAAACAAGTAAGTAAAAAATAACTTTTAAAAATATATATATATTTTATTATAATGATAATCTTTACGTGTCGAAAATATGGCGAACGGTCAAAAATTAGTCACGAAGATTTTCTACATTTTTACAATCAAACCACCTTGAAACATCGAGAAATAAAATAAAATTTGGAAGTAATTTTTGTATGTATAAATGTAAATACGTTTTGTAAAGAACGTAAGGAAGGAACACAATTTTGTTTACTATGTCCCCAGTTAATTTGATAGTTATTTGATAGGATGAGGTCACTCAACTCGTAAACAATCCGTACAGGCAATCATCAAAGTTACAGTTATAAATTATACATCTAAATAGTCTTATATAAATAAATTTAATATAGGGCCTTTTGCAGGCCCGATCGCCATATTTGCTGTTTATTCCCGAGTTACTGAAACAACCACCACGTTGCACGAGGTCGTGTTACAAGAACGTTCAATCGTCAGCACGACTTACTCCAAACATTAAATATTTATTTTTACAGTTCTAATTGAATTAATTAAGTTTTCTTTCTTTGATAAATTTCAAACTGAGCCAAGCACACGTCTACAATTTTAGCAAGAAAAAATAACTTGTAGAAGGAGTTCGTTTGAAAAAGAAGTTTCTATATAAAAATTGGTAATGTGAAAAAGCCCAAAACATCATCACGTGGCTAGGTGTTACCGAAGCGAAATTTTCATCTTGTGTTCAACGGTTCAATGTGCTTGCCAATAATTCATTATTCTATAGAAAAACAAACATACTAAGTAATAATTAACTCTAAGATTTTGTATATAATATTGAAAAAAATATATTTTAACNCAGCACGACTTACTCCAAACATTAAATATTTATTTTTACAGTTCTAATTGAATTAATTAAGTTTTTTTTCTTTGATAAATTTCAAACTGAGCTAAGCACACGTCTACAATTTTAGCAAGATGAAATAACTTGTAGAAGGAGTTCGTTTGAAAAAGAAGTTTCTATATAAAGATTTGTAATGTGAAAAAGACCGGAAAATCATCACGCGGCTAGGTGTTACCGAAGCGAAATTTTCATCTTGTGTTCAATGGTTCAATCTGCTTGCCAATAATTCGTTATTTTATAGAAAAACAAAACATACTAAATAATAATTAACACTAAGATTTTATATATAATATTAANAAGTTGTGTAACAATCTCATTTTCTAGACTTCATTATCCCTGTTTTTGAAAATAAGATCAATAATTAGCAATCTTTCAAATAATTTTTACTTAAAACTTGATTTAAATGACAGAGATTAATAACTATTTTTGTAAATGTATGTTTACCGATCTATCAGGAAAATAGACTTTTATAAATTTACTACGAAAATCAAATACAAATATGAGTTCTAGCAATTTAGAAAATCACTTATTAAAAAACCTTTTGACAAATAGTGAATAATAGCATATTATTACATTGAATTTTTATTTCCATATAGAATTAGAAGATTAGTAGATGCTGGTGTATACGAAAAATTGAGACAGCAAGAGTTTCCTGCAAAGAGTAGCAACAACAAAGAAACATATCATCCACTTGTTATCGAAGACATTATCAGCCCTTTGATATTATTGTTGTGTGGATATAGCATCTCTGTTATAATTCTACTCGTTGAAATACTATTAAATAGAAAAAAATTTAAATTATTAAAAAAAATTAAAAATATCAATATCTGAAAAATTAAACATTCTTTCTATAAACATTTTTAAGCTTTAATAACATTTGCACCAAGAACTATCGTTTATTTTCGGATAGAACAACTATCATGTTTATTATTACACGGTATAAATAAAGTTATTAGATAATATTATACTATATTATTGTAAAATTTATTCCTTTACCACCAATTGTCCAATAAGAGCAGGAGCTAACGAAATATTTACTTGTTAAAATATAATAAATAGAGTTAGTTACGACTGTAATAGAGGCAGCCAAAAACCTTTTAGTAAATATTTTCTCAGAATTAATATTTCCGGACACAAAACAAATGGTCAGCGTGATTAATTTATTTGATAGTATGAAGTCACGCTACACGTAAACAATCCGTACAGGCAATGTTTAGAATTAAAATAATAAATTATCATT